AAATCCAACTTTCGTAAAATAAGAACCACACCAATGCCATGGAGTAATATTTTTCAACTAATTTGAAAAATGAGAAATCATTGTTAGTGAATTTATTATATAGGTATTGCATTAAAAGAAGGAGTTTGCGAAAAATGGCCTCAAGTGTAGAAGAAAAGAGTGGTGTTTTACAACACAACACAATGCAGGGTCTCTTCCGTTGTTGATTAGAATGGCGAATATGCAAGAAATACATTTCGAAGTGCTTTCGTATCCATCTTAATTATTAAATTTGGCGCCCAGCAACTACTACAGATTTTTAGACCTTGAAAAGAAGTGCAAGTAAAAGATATATATGTACAGTTAAAAAGTCATCGCCAAAATTAAAGTCTATTTTGAGCCTAAAATAAGTATTTTTACAAGAAAAATACTAAAATGTTAAAGAAGGACTCGATTCCATTCCATTACTCGAAGGAAACTGTGTTGATGAATAGTGTCGAATATTTCCAAAAAGTTTTTGTTTTATTGGTTACATTATGGTCTTATCCGCCGATACATAAAGTTAAAGTTTACTAAAAAGTTGTTTTATTGGTTATATTTTTTTTTTGTTAAAAGTGTTCGCCGCCAGCTGGCTTTTGAATCGCTAGTCTTTCTACTTCTTTGAGGGTTCTAGTTAAGAACTTGGCGGCAGATCTCAGAGGGATTCATACGTATTGAGTTATGTGAATTTAACTGAATATTGTATAAAGAAATTAATACTCGCAACAGCTGTATGGTCAGCCAAAAACTCAAATAATTAAAATAATATGAAAAATAATTTTAGTTGTTGTAGTTCACTACTTTTTGAAACCTCTCTAATAAAGAAATGAAGTAATTTTGTAATATATTCATTTCTTGCTACTATTAATTTTTTTGTGGCTGTAATATACACTACAAACAATATGTTATAAAATCAATAAAATTAAAAAGTTTCATTATAGAGGAGTTTTATTTACATTTCACATTTTTTTAATCAAAAGAATATATTATTAATTTTATTATTTTTATTTTTATTAGTATTTAAAAAACATACGGCATATTACATACAATACAAGCAATACTTAATGTTTCTGTTTTTGCGGAAATTTTAAATTTTACGAGAAAATTTTATGTAATGGTCTACCGCAGTGCTCATGTATGGCTACACATATCCAGTTTTGTGTTTTCATGTACGTAATCCAGTGCTGAAATATGGTTAAGGTATATGAAGCAATTTACCAAACTTGCCGCAATACAATTTTATTGCACCGCAACAGCTTAAATACGAGCAACAACAATAACAACAACAACTTCAACAACAGCAGCAACAACAATAACAACAGCACGAGCGAGGCAGCGGCAAGAGTAGCAACAGTACATAGTAACAACATTGTTGTGACATGTTGTATGGGCCGATGCAAACAAAATAGATACCTATACTAATATGTATCCAATGCGGTCGTTAACTCTGATGTTTGTTATCGAGTAAATAAGCAACTCTAATAAAATATAATACGCAGTGGTTGTATAAGACATAACGAGTGTAATGAACAAAAATAAAAACATAATGTTAACATTTAACTAAATAAAGGACATTCTGTCGTTATCCGAAGTAACAAACAACTAGGTTGCTGTTAACATATCTGTAGAAATACTTGAGAGCATCTCACTGAAGTCAGGTAGGAAAGGAAGAATGGTATGTTTACGTAACAAAATATTGGTATCAGAACTCATATTTACTCTTTATGTATTTATACCATTGGACAGTATAATGATATAAATAGCAACAGAAATGGTACTGTAAGTTGTAATTATAAAAAATATAGGTTATTGTTAGAACAATGTAATGAAGAGACCAATTAAATAGGTGTTTAAAATATCACTGCAAATGATAGTAGCTTAATAATTGCTCAGTTTTTAATTTATCAAAACTCCATATTGTGGTCGGATTTTTTTTTGTTTTATAGAAACGGTAAAAATTTCCTACAGCATAACTTTATATTCGGACCAGATGCGCTTACGTATACATAATGTAAATAATACGAAAACACATCAGGATTTAAGCAAATACAATATATTCTCGTATCCTGTTTGCTTGCAAATTTTTTTTATAAGCCACCAATACTTTACCTTATATTTTATATTCAATATTCATTTTTTAAAAACAATTTCACTATTCATTCGTAGCTGTTTTTTCTCTTTCAATAAGTAAAATATGCGTATTTATGCTAAAAAAATTTAAAGCACATCCAGCGAGTCCTTTTGGTTGCTCTGATTTTGCTTTCACTATAAACATTTTTATAAGAAATTTTTTACTGCAGTCATTGACGATGCTGCGGCTGAGGCTGGTGCTTTATGCAGTATCCTTATTCAGCAAAAAAAAAAACAAAAGAAAAAAATAAAATAAAATAGAGAATTGTTATAAATTTACTGCAATTATTTAAATTCAATACAAATAAATATAGGCGTATTTGTTTTTTATTATAAAAATAATTCTGGGTCATTTTTCTTATAAAAAAAAGGAAAGTTTATGAGTTTTTCAATTTATTGGAAAAAAAAATCAGTTATTTAAACTTACGAGAAACAGGGAACGTAAATTTCAATTGTAATTTTAATTTTTAATATATTTAAAATAATAAAATATTTTATTAATAATAAATTGTAGTGAACTACAACAACAAAAAATCATTTTTATATTATTGTAATTAAATGAATTTTTGGTTGATCATACAGCTGGTTCGAGTATTGTCAAGTACAAATCATCAGTGGTGGTGGAATTATTTCTTGTATTTAAATATGTATTCGTAAATAATTTTTTGAGACTACAAGTACTCGTGCTCTGCCAAAATTGAAGTTTACAGTCAGCGCAACTTAACCAACTGACCCAAAGACTTACTTGACAAACTTGACTTATTCAACCTCACCTACCCGTGGCGCATTCTGTTTTCTACATACAAGGCTCTGGCGACCGAGTACAGGCGGTATAACCTGAAAGCATATAGTTGAGCGGAAATATCTCTAACTACTTAAAACCAATCCTAACTCCGGGTTAGCAAATAAGGAGATCTGGCCCTCCAAGGCTCTGGCGACCGAGTACAGGCGGTCTAACCTGAAAACATATAGTTGAGTGGAAATATCTCTAATTACTTAACACCAATCCTAATTCCGGGTTAGCAAATAAGGAGATCTGGCTCTCCAAGTTGCGGGTTGATCGCATGGCCAGCAACTCTGCATCGGAAAAATTTTACCACTACGCAACCCATAAGGAGATCAAGGTACATACTGGATTGTAGTGCCAAATAAGAAGAAGAATAAAGTAGAAAATACGTTATTTTATGTTATGATTCACACATGGATGATTCGTTGGATATTTTTAATTTCCCTCGTCATTGAAATAGATATAGAGTTAAGACCTGTAACAAGTATTAGTTTAAATATAGTATAAATATTAGGAATTTTAATTGATAATTTTTTTATAGTTTAAAAGGATGGTATTATAGATAATTGGCACACACTAAAATTAACAAACTTCAAAAGATGTGAATTAAAGCAAAATACTTAATTAAATGATGCATGATTTTTTAATTAAATAAATGCCTTCAATAGGAAATAACTGAGCAAAAGTAAAAATAGTAAAAAAACATAGAAAGCTACTGGATTTAAAGTTAAAACTGCTACTGTACATTGGCTTAAGCATTAACTTCCTTTTTTGTGGTATTTCGAAGCATCACACGTTTGTGGGTTACAAAAAGGATGCTCACCTCACCTTTCATTTAAAGTGTCTTAAATGTCATTCAACTTAACGCTTGACATGAATTGTATACGTACATAAACCTAAATATATAATAGGGCATATATACCTATATATAGGTATATGTAATACGTTTCCACAAAACTTTAACCGCAAAAACTATATTTGATTTTTTTATGTCACTTAGATACTCTCAAAGGCGTAACAGCCGCAAATGGATTTTTTTTTGCTGAGAAAGAATATTTCGATGAATAATTTTCTTGAAATAAAAATTAAATAAATATACTAACCCGTTGACAAAAACTTTTTCTTATTTAAGCTTTTTATCTACTTTGCAGTTGAAGTACGTCATGCTGCGTTTCAGAACTCTGAAGGATAATACAACGTTTTAAATTATATATGTTGGCATTAAAATCGCAAAAATGTTTTAGAACTTCTTAGCTGAGTTAAGTATTGTTAAGCGTGCTTGAGTTCCGAACTTCAATAAACAGACGAAAAAAGGATTCTAATTACTTAAAGTTATGACAGCGAATGTGGGTGCGGTTAACTGTTGCTATGTAGATCAGAGTGTCTCTATCTTTTAAGTTTCTGTCAACTTAAGTGAATGAATACTGTGCAATAGTTGTTAACCATTATAATCTCAAAGGTTTTTACCAAAAATGACACGTCAAGTTTTTTAAGTGCTAATTAAAGTAAAATTCTTTTGATTTTTTCCTCATAGCTTTCATTTACTGAACTTTTATTATACTTTTTTGACACTATAAATACTTATACTCGTACTATAAATGAGAGCTAAAACCGCACTTATTGTAATTATTGTTATAGTTTATAAGAACAATTCTTCTGGAGAGAACTTTGAAGTTGTTAATCAAAAGCTCCATAGAAAGAAAGTATTTAAGTAGTTGTTTCCAACTGTTGGACTTTAAATGATTATTTGTTTGGGTAAATGGATTAATTACATACTTTTAAATCAGAGTTCTGTTTATTGAAAAATCAAAGTACT